CCTACTTGTACAGTTGTATGATATATTGAATACATTACTTCCTTGTACAGTTGTAGGATACACTGAACACATTCCCTTTGTGTAAAGTTGTAGGATATAGTGTATAAAGTGGTAACATGTTCAGTATATTCCACAACTGTATATGGAGGTAAGGTGTTCAATACAGATATAGGATATACTCTATTTCTTTTCAATTTCCCCGAAGCTACACACGGGTTATATGCACTAGCCATCTTTAATTCTGAGCTGGTGGAAGGCAGCTTAGTCAGTAGCTCTACAGCCAATTTTTGGATTAATTAAATAATTGGATTTGCCCTCACTCATATAATGCACCCACGGTCTCAAAGTGCAGAGTACGACTTCGTGATAAGGAGACGGGAACCACGGATCCTTGGATTCACAGTCCAGCATGCTAACCATTTGAGTATGCGAAGTCCAGGATAAAATGAACACATTGCACCTTTAAACATCTGTGGGATTTACAAAGTTAAATTCTTTACATCTAAAATTATTTGTTACACTACTCACTTTCTCCTGTAGGCTAACTTCTGGAAATTTTGTTCCACTTTCTGCACCTTCTGCAATAAACCCTCCCTATAAGAACAATGACACACGCTATAATCTAATCAAGTAAAAAGTAAATTGTATGTTACAAGCAGAGAAAAAAAGTAGTTTCCCGTGACTTTCGGTCATTTATTCTATCCTAGATTATAACATTCACATGTAAAGCATAAAATCTTTGACAACTGTACACTTTAACAATAGAATGTATTGATACGTACAATATAAATATATAATTACTAAATAATTGCAACAATTCATTTTTTCACCTTAAAATAATTTTATATTAATTTCAAATATTTTCTTCTTTCTTTCAACTCCATATTTTTCTCAAAGGTTACCAAATTTCTAAAAACTTTAAGTTTTAATATCTAAATTATTCTTGAAATTAAAACATTCAATTTACTAATGTTCACACAGATATCATATATATTTATTGTGAAAATTATTACAGTTTGTTTTTGCTTTCCACTAGCCCACACTGTTCAAAAGCAGATACGACTTTATGTGGTTTGACCAGTTG